CACGCCATGGCTTTTATTGTTCAAATCACAGGTTGTGACCTCTGAGAAAGTTGCAAAAATCGATTTAGCACAAACTGCGTGTAGCAGTGGACCCCTGTCATCCTGGCACTTGAAAGACTTAGGAGGATGGCGGTGTGTTAGAGGCTACCCAGTGAGACCATGACCATAATAGTGGTAATAGAAATAAAAACAGTATGCCAGGCGGTGGTGGCGCACACCTTTAATCCCAGCACTCGGGAGGCAGAGCCAGGCGGATCTCTGTGAGTTCGAGGCCAGCCTGGTCTACAGAGTGAGATCCAGGACAGGCACCAAAACAGCACAGAGAAACCCTGTCTCGAAAAACCAAAAAAAAAAAAAAAAAAAAGAAAAAGAAAAAAGAAAAACAGTAAATTTAGACAGGAGGATGGCGGTGTGTTAGAGGCTACCCAGTGAGACCATGACCATAATAGTGGTAATAGAAATAAAACCAGGAAATTTAGATAGGAAATCATTGTACAAATGCACGGGATAAGGGACTAGGGCCGGGTGTCAACTCGAAAATGCCTACGGATTCAAAGGAGCTGAGACATCCTGCTTTTAAAGTGAACAAACTCAATGAGCAAACCTCTTAAATACTCTAAGAGGCATTCTTGTTTCTTTTGAGACAGACAGGGTCTCTCTGTGTAGCCCTGGCTGTCCTGGAACTCACTTTGTAGACCATGCTGGCCTCGAACTCACAAGAGATCCACCTGCCTCTGCCTCCTGAGTACTGGGATTCAAGGCGTGCACCACCACACCCAGCTCTGCCCCGTTGTTTTTTAAATAGTCTCATTCTATAGCCCAGGCTATCCCTTCTGTGGCCCAGGCTGGCTTTGAACCAACCATCCTCCAGTCTGAGCCTCCTGGTGCTCCAAGGTCCCTAGAGCTGGAGACACAAGTCCAGGAGACAGAAGTCCAGGTCCCAAGTCCCCCACAGTACCCCACAGCCTGCAGGGGCTGCGGCGATGGGTCCTCAGCGGGTCATCCTCTCCCCTTATAGAACCCCCTGTTGGTGGAAGCCGAGAAGAAGGTATCCTACAGCTGCTGTAGCCAGGGCTGGGTAAAGCTGCAGGTGCAGATGGGCAAGAACACCTTCGTGCCGGGCGAGAAGGTGACCTTCACGTCGGAGATCCGCAACAACACGGGCAAGTACATCAAGACGGTGGTATTCGCCCTCTACGCCCACGTGCAGTACGAGGGCTTCACGCCCAACGCCGAGCGGCGCCGGAGGGCAGACAGCAGTGAGCTGCTTCGACAGGTGGCCAACGCTCGCATCCCGGCCTTCAACAGCACCACGGTGGTCAGTGCCTTCACCTTGCCACTGGTGTTGTCCGTGAGCAATGGCTCCCAGGAGAATGAGCTCATGCAGACCAGCTATGAGCTTATAGTTACTGTCCACCTCCCCTGGTCCTTGGCAACTGTCAAAGCCCGGCTCCCCATCATCATCACCAGCACCAGGGAAGACCAGGCCAACTGCCCCCAGGAGGATGAGTAACCAAATCAACGGGTTTGAATGCCGGAACTTTAAATATTAAAAGCCTATTGTAACTCTAAGTGAGTTGCTTGTCTGTTAGGCCTAGGGCTAGTCTGGCATGCACAATGCCCAGGGCTCTATCTTGGATACCCTGTAGTCCCGGTGTGATGGCACACATCTGTCATCCCAGCACTCAGGAGATGGAGGAACAGGAGTTCAAGGCCATCCTCAGCTTCGTAGCAGGGTGCATAGCAAGCTCCGGGCTAGCCTGGGCTATAGGAGACCCAGTCTGAAGGGAACAGAGCTTTCTCTAAGGTCTTGGCAGAGCAGCCAACTCTAAAACAGAGATCTCCAAGGCCTTTGGCCTGGTGGCACACGCCTATCGTCCCGGTACTGGGAGATTGAGAGGTTTAAGGTCATTCCCAGCTACATATGGATTGCTAGCCAGCCTGGACTATGTGAGACCCCATGTCAGTGTTCACACCACAGCTGCCATCAGCAACCCAGCTAAGGCTTCCTAGAACATTCTTTCCAGCTCTGCAGCTTTCACGGGGAGACTCCTTCCCCCTCCACCCCTGAGACTCGGTGACCCACAGGAGCAAGCGTTGGGGACACTTCCTGTGTGGTGACTGATGGCACCCACCATGCCAGGTGGGCCAACGGGAGAAGGCAGCTGGGGCCACCCTGCTTCCTGTCCCCCGTGGAGGGGCCCCTCATTCTTCCTGGCTCCCAACCCCCAAATAACCCCCCTCCCAGGAACCTAAGCCACTCACACAGCTGCAGGCTCCGGGGAGAGGCGGCTGTAGCGGCTACCCAGGGGCTGTCTACACTGCAAGCCCCAGTCACCAGTGCTGTGACCAGAACCCCCACCATCTAGGGCTGTCTTGTCAATTAGAGGGACTTAAGGGTCCTATCCAGCTGGATGCCCCGCCCGGGTCCAATGTGACACCTCCATGTTCGCTTATTCAGTTTCAAGGTGGTCACCAGGACAGCAGCCCCGGAACAAAGAGGCATCGGAACAGCTTGTTCCCACCAGCATGACAACATACCAGGACGTCCTGGTTGCTGGCAGTGCTCTGAGTGGCCGGCCGAGCCAGGCCACTCTGGGCCAGACTGCCCTCTCTGGGGACTGGGAGGGCTGTGGTCCCGGAGGGATTGGGTTACAGGCCCCACAGGACACAGCCCTTGGGCCGGCCAAGATATTTACAACATGAAGCCTGCCCGCTGGCCCGCTTGCTTTTAAGTCACCTCAGGAGCGGCCAGGCAGCCTGCATGGTTTGTCTCAGAGCCCAGGGAAACAGGGGAGTGGCCAGGATGGGATGACCCACGGGGCCTGGAAGAGCTAGGCCAGCCTGCTGGGCCACGGGGTCTCAGAGCTGTGCCCCTCCCCCAAGACCACCGCAGCCTCTCACGGGGACAGCGGGCAGCTGGCGCCATGAGGCCCAGGAGGGCGGGGACAGCCAGGGCCTGCATGGTAAATGTCCCCCAGCTTCCTGTGGTGAGGGGCAAGATAAAACCCTGGCCACACAGGCCACGTGAGTAGAAGCCGTGGACAGCAGCAGGCTTTGCTGAGTGAAAGCAAGGACATGATGACACCAGGACTCAGGCACTGCAGACAGAGAGCTCTCTTTCATCTGGAGTCTTTGTTTTCCCTGCCTCAAATCTCATGTAACCCAGGCTGGCCTCAAACTCACTGTGTAGCACAGGCTGCCCTTGAACTGACCCCCCTGATTCTCCCTGCCCCCAGCTCCAGGGTGCGGGGGTGACAGGCATATATACCCGGTGGATATAGTGTTGGAGACAGAACCCAAGTTTGAGGTGTACTGATTGACCAGTCTGGCCCAGCCCCTAATTTCTTCTAAAATTAAAAGATGCCAGAAGTGATTGCATATGCCTCTCATTCCAACACGGGGAGACTGAGGCGGGAGGATGGCCTCAGTCAGTGAGACAAAGTAAAAGTTCCTTGGAGGCCAGTAAGATGGATCAGTGAGGAAGGGAGCTTGCTGCCAATTCTGAAGACTTGAGTTCAATCCCCAGGCCCCACAAGGCAGAGAGAAATGACACCTTCATGCTCCTGTCTGACCTACACACACTCAATAAATAGATGTAACACAATTTTTAAATATCCCTGGGCTTAACTCCCCCAAATATTGTTTTGTTTTGGAGACAAACTCACTGTGTAGCTCTGGCTGTCCCCCTAAAGTCTTAATGCTATCCTTCTGGCCTGTCTCCCCACTGGTCTCTGAGTGCTACCAAGCCAAGAGGGTCCAGACCATGTCCCCAGGGCTGCCCTGCAGGACCTTGGTATACAGTAGGTGTCTAATAACTATTTTTTTTTTTTTTTTTTTTTTGGTTTTTCGAGACAGGGTTTCTCTGTGTAGCTTTGCGCCTTTCCTGGGACTCACTTGGTAGCCCAGGCTGGCCTCGAACTCACAGAGATCCGCCTGGCTCTGCCTCCCGAGTGCTGGGATTAAAGGCGTGCGCCACCACCGCCCGGCGTCTAATAACTATTGAATGCCTGTTTACACAGCCAATGAGCCACAGGCCAGGCCCAAGGTTACTAGTACATGGCTGCTAAGTCACAGAGGGGAGGGCGCCATCGGGGGTCAAAGAGGGAAGAGGCACCCTCGTTGGCACAGGGAAAAGTGTGTCTTTGGAGTGGGGGGCACAGAGGGAAGGGGCGTCGTCGGGGAGGCAGGGCGCTACCTGGCGGCAGTGTGCCCCATCCCTCCCCAGCCCCTGCAAAGGCGGCATTGTTCAGGGGAAGCAAGAAGATGAGGAACTGAGTCATCAAGGCAGCCCAGAAAAAGGAGGTGCCGGGCGGAAGACAGGAAAGATTTGAGGTACTTCGCCCTCCCCAGGTTGGGATCACGTTCGCGCATGCGCAGTTGCAAACGCCTGAGCCCATTTTTCACCATAGACCTGAGGGGCTGGGGAGCAGCACATGGGTCACCCCCTTAGCAAACACGTTCAGTTCTTTCTTAGCCTCTGGGGCTGTCTGAGGTGAACCCCTTGGCTTACAGACCACCGGGAGGAAGGTTTAGGAAGGCGGGCAGCTTCAGGGACAGTTCGATCCAAAGTCCGGGAACCACAGGTGGCCATCTCCGGGCCTCAGCGCCTCGCCCACCAGAAGGCCTCGGCTCGGTGAGCGCCTCAGGCTGGCTGCGAGAGAGCAAGCTTTCCTTTAGGGCCCCGTCGGGGCTGTGTGTACACTTGGCTATCGATTCCCCGCGTCCGGATGGAGACTATCACTGGGCACATCTGAAGACGTCACTCAACCATCTCTTGGATCCACAAGCTCTTTGGGGGTCTCTGGAAACACGGGGAGATCCAAGGACCCCCAGAAGTCTCTCAGGAAAGGACATCACACAGGCTTCCCTCTCTCCCCCTCCATCCAGGACCAAAGCTCTAGGTCCTTGTGGGACTCAACTAACGGGCAACCTGGTCTGGGTCTCCTGCGAAAGGTGGGCAAGTGGGCGGGACTAAGCCATAGGATCCTCTGATTGGTCATCTGTCCTGTCACTCCCAGCCCCTCCCCTCCCACGGGATCCACAAGGCCGCCCCGCCCCTCTCGGGCAGATCGGAGCTTGCCTTGGGAGGGGAGGTTTTCCTGCCTCGACGCCCTGAGGACTCTGGTGAGACCCGGATGGGGGTGGTGGTGGTCCAGGGTCGATCTTGGGGTGCCCCCGGGGAGGAGGGAGACACGAGGCTTTGCTGGGAGGATCAGAAGCCCCCAAATCTCTGCATGCTAGAAAACCCCACTTTTACAGGAGAGTAACTTTTACCCGAGGCTCGCAACTTTTACAGCGCTTCCAACTCTTGGCCTAGCCACCCTGAGCCTTTGGAGATGGGAACTGAGTTCCTGAGTGCCAAGGAAGGTGGATTCGACCGTCCTGGGCCCCCAGAGTTAGAGCTGTGCTCAAACGCACGTCCCGTGCTTCCTGGCCTGCGGCTCCACCCTCCTCCCCCGGTACTGGGTCTGCTGTTCCCCACCCCCCCCCCCCCCCCCCCCCCCCCCCCCCCCCCCGAGCAGCGACCCCAGCAGCCTCGGTTGTAAATAGGTTTAGCAGCCCAGCACTGGCCCGAGCCGCTAGAGAGCGTGTTGGGGTAGGGAGTAGGCGGGGAGGGACCCTTGCATAAAGCCAAGCCTGTTCCACAGGAGGTTCTGTCCCCAGCCGGGCCTGGTGCCGCCCTCTCTTGGAATCTCTCACATTCAGTCTTTTGTTTCTGTTTCGGTGATTGGTTTTGGAAATGGGCCTGCTCTGTAAACTAGGGTGGCCTGGAACTTGCCATCCCTCTGCCTCCACCAGTATTGCTGGGATGACAGCATGTCACCAAACCAGGCAGAAAGACTCCCTTGACCACTTCTAAGCCCTGGCTACACGCAGCAACCTTTGACCCTGGGGGCTTCTTTGGCTTTCTCAGCAAAGAAAATAATCTTGTGGGCGGAGTGTGTGTGGGGGGGGTCAGTTCCTGGCAGCTGGAGTCAGCTGCCGGAAGGTCACAGACCCCAAGAACTCAGAAAGCGCTTATCTGCGGTGGCCACCCTTTGCTTGGGGTGGGGGGCTCCAGGGGTGTCTGACTGACTTCTAAGGGATCAATGAGACTTTGCTGCCCACCTGGTGAGGTGGTAGTAATGGGGCTTAGGTAGCATTCGCTAGGCCTGAGGCATGACCCTCATCCCCTGACTCCTCTGTTGGGAAACCTTTGTCACAAACCGGAAGCTGCAGCCTTCCCTATCAGCAGTTAGGCTGTGGTATGCCAGACCGGTTTACTGAGCATCCCACAGACACCACCAACCAGTCCACTAGTGTCTGGGCTGTAGATCAGGGCGAGCAAGCCTCCCAAGGGGTTGAGTCCTCTGAGCTCCTCCCAGGGGGCTCCAGAGTCAGGATCAGGGGCCAGTGAGATGGCGGCAGACCAACATCTGAGTTTGATGTCCGAGACTCCTGGTGGAATGAGAAAATCTACTCCTGCAGGTTGTCTTGTGACCTCCACGTGGGCACACGATGGTGAGCATACACTCACATACACACATGATAAATAATAAGTAAAAGAACTGAGGTTGTGGCTCAGTGGTGAGTGCTTGCCTAGCATGTGATAAGACTCCCTGGGGCTGGGCGGTGGTGGCACATGCCTTTAATCCCAGCACTCGGGAGGCAGAGCAGGCGGATCTCTGTGAGTTCGAGGCCAGACTGGTCTACAGAGTGAGTTTCAGGAAAGGCGCAAAGCTACAAAGAGAAACCCTGTCTCGAAAAACCAAAAAAAAAAAAAAAAAAAAAAAAAAAAGACTCCCTGGTACCCCAAACATTGTATACACACACACACACCCCAGAACAGATCTAGCGTTCTGAAATTACTGGATTCAAATCTGTCACATGAGAATTTTCTGGGGCGCCAGTGTCTGAATTAGGGGCAACCTTTAGACTCTGTTGATATGAGTTAAGGGAACCGGGTAGGGGAGACAGCAAGGTCTCATGCATCCCAGGCTGGCCTAGAATTCATGATGTAGCCAAGGATGGCTCTGAAGTCCTGACCTTCCTCACAAGTGGTGGGGTGACAGGCGTGTGCCACCACTCCTGGTTTCTGTGGTTCTGGGGCATGCTGGCTCTGCCCACTGACCCAAGCCCCATTTTTTAACTGGTTTTTGAATAGGAGATATTACTTACCTGGCCTAAAATTCAGACACCTGCCTTCTACCCCCATCCTCTATCCGAAACCTGTCCTTAGTCTGTCCATTTTCCTGATCTTCTAACATCTATGTAAAGACAAAATCAGGCTGGAGAGGTGGCTCAGCTGTTAGAGCACTTACTGGTCCCTCAGAGGACCTGGGTTCAGTTCCCAGCACTTGCTTCAGGCGCCTCATACCACCGAACTCCAGCTCCAGGGGATCTGACGCCCTCTCCTGCACTCTGGCCACCACTTGCACATAAAACCAAACATAAATCGTTACAAGATTTTTTATGTTTATTTTTGTTTTTCTTTTTGAGACAGGGTTTTACTGTAGACCAGGCTGGCCTGGGACTTAGAGATCCTCCTGCCTCTTGTCTCCAGGGCTGGGATTAAAGGCATGAGCCACCACCCCTGGCTTAGCTGGGGTTTTGCTTGTTTGTTTTGGTTTTTTTGGTTTTTCAAGACAGGGTTTCTCTGTGTAGTTTTGTTGCCTGTCCTAGATCTCGCTCTGTAGACCAGGCTGGCCTCAACCTCACAGAGATCCGCCTGGCTCTGCCTCCCGAGTGCTGGGATTAGAGGTGTGCACCACCACTGCCCGGCCCTTAGCTGATTTTTTTTTTTTTTTTTTTTTTTTGGTTTTTCGAGACAGGGTTTCTCTGTGTAGCTTTGTGCCTTTCCTGGAACTCACTTGGTAGCCCAGGCTGGCCTCGAACTCACAGAGATCCGCCTGGCTCTGCCTCCCGAGTGCTGGGATTAAAGGCGTGCGCCACCACCGCCCGGCTAGCTGATTGTTTTTAATTATGCATAGCGTGTGTGCATGTGAGTGTGGTGCCCATAGAGACCTTAGATACCATGGAGCTGGAGGTACAGGTGGTTGTGAGCCCCCTGCCATGAATGCTAGGAGTCAAACTCAAGTCCTCTGAAAGAGCATATATGCTTTGTAACTTCTGAGCCATTTTTCCAGTCCCCAAAATACTCTTAGGAGAGAGAGAATCTTGAATGCTATTTCACACATTTCGTCTCTGAACGTTTTGGCCTGTGAGAGTTCCCTTGATTTGAACACACAGGGAAAAGTGTTATTTTTTTTTTTTTAACCCCCCTCTGCTGGGCATCTAGGTTGTTTCTGCTTTCATGTTGGGACCCACAAGGGGCACACACACCCTCACTGGCAGAACAGGTGTGGTATCAGTGTCAACTGTCCGATAACCTGGAAGAGGGCTGTGAGGGCAACAGTACCCTTGAGAGAGGTATTAGACCTGACCTTTTTCCTTTAAAGAGGCTGTTCTGCTAGGTGTGGCCTAGGACCCCTGTCACAACCGTCCAGAGTTGGGGTTCTAAAGTAAGAGGTTGTGTCTGTGGTCAGGGTGGAGTCCCCTCCTAGAGTCCCCCAAGTGAGGGGCTGGGGGCGTGGTCAGGGTGGAGCTCCGCCTAGAATCCCCCAGTGGAGGGGCTGGGGGCGTGGTCAGGGCGGAGCCCCGCCTAGAATCCCCCAAGTGAGGGGCTGGGGGTGTGGTCAGGGCGGAGCCCCGCCTAGAATCCCCCAGTGGAGGGCTGTGGTGTGGCTCAGGGGTGTAGCTTTGCTGCATGTTCCTGGAGCCCTGAGTTGGTTCTCCAGCACCAAAGGGTCAGGGGTTGGGAGGAGCTCCGGTGAGCTAGGCCCCACCTTGGACCTCTGAATTGATGACGGGTCTCTGAGAGGGCTGAAGGTTCATAGATCAACTCTGCTTCCTGTGTTCCTGGGGCAGGCTGTCACTTGACTCTCTTCTGTCTGCAGCTGAGACCATGTCTAGCAATGGGACAGATGCCCCGGCTGAAGCCCAGGCTGCTGTGGAAGAACCTGTCCCACAGGTAAGGGGCCTGAGCTGCAGGGAGCCCTGGGCTTCTGAGGGTGCTATGTGGCATCTTGCTGGGGGCTGAGAGGGGCTGGCCAGGAGAGAAGTCCAGAGGTCTGCCTCACTCCTTCCCGCCTTACTTCCTTTTCTTCTTTTTCTTTTTAGTTTTGAGACAGGATCTCACTATGTAGCTCAGGCTAGCATGGAACTCACAGAGATTCCTCTGCCTCTGCCTCTGCCTCTGCCTTCTGAGTGCTGGGGATTAAACACCTAGGCCTGGCCCTTCATTCTTTCTTTCCTTTCGATACAAGGTCTCATGTAGCACAGGCTAGCCTCAAACTCACTATATGACTGAGGATGATTTTGAATTCCTCTTACATGCTTCTCCCCAACTCTCTGTCTCTGTCTAGACCAATTCACTGTGAAGCCCAGGGTACCACAATCATAGTAGAACCCTCAAGGCTCCAGCCTGTGCTGAATGATACCATGTGCCATTACCCCAGGTTTCTGGAGTTGGGGATGGAATGTAGGGCCTGTTATGTGGTGAACCAGTGCTCCCACAAAAATGGGGTTCCTCTGTCACCACACTGCCTGACACTTCACTGGGTCGTCAATCCCATGCTCAAACAAGTAAGCCACCAGAAGCACGTGATGGACCTTCAGGTTTCCTGCCTTGTTCAACTGTTCGTACCAGGCATCATAGAGCCCAGCTGGTCTGCTCCCCCAAAATGAGAGCAGGCCTGTGGGCACCCTGAGCTCTTAGCCCAGTCTCCCGCCCTCCACAGCCCAGCGTGGTGGACCGCGTGACCAGCCTGCCCCTCATCAGCTCCACGTGTGGGATGGTGAGTGCCGCGTACACCTCCACCAAGGAGAGCTACCCCCAAGTGAGGACCCTGTGCGACGTGGCTGAGAAAGGCGTCAAGACCCTCACTGCGGCCGCAGTCAGCGGGGCACAGCCCATCTTGTCCAAGCTGGAGCCCCAGAGTAAGTAGAGGACCCCAGAGTGTGGAGAATGCTCCTCGTGGCCATCCTTGGAGGGAATCACCCCTGTTTCTGAACTCCAGTTCCCTGAAACTGGCCCTGGGTGGCTCTCCTCGCCTCTGAAGGGCAGTTACAGTGGATGTGTTTTCTCTGGTGTCCTGCAGTTGCTTCGGCCAGTGAGTATGCGCACCGAGGGCTAGACAGATTGCAGGACAGTCTGCCCATCCTCCAGCAGCCGACTGAGAAGGTCAGTACTAGGTCAGTTGATTCTGTCTGAGGCCCTGCCTGGACCTGCCAAGGCCTAGCTTTATACAGAGCACACATATGACAATCCTCACTGTCCCCACCCGCTCTGGCCAGAAAGGTCTTGAAGGGTGACCACATCCAGTCAGAATGCCGTCTGGATCCCACCAAACGCAGAGCAAAAGGGCTCACAGTTTCATCTGGTCTGGCCCCTAAAGCACAATGCACAGTTTAGATGGGTACACACCCTTAGAAACAGAGTTGTAAGCCTTTGGAAAGGACCCTAAACCCAAGAAGGCAGAGGACGCATGTATAGCAGGACATTTGCATGTGCTATTCTTTTTTTTTTTTTTTAAATAATTTATTTTTATTTTATGTGCATTGGCCTACATGTACATCTATGTGAGGGTGTCAGATATTGGAGTTATAGACAGTTGTTAGCTGCCATGTGGGTGCTGGGAATTGAACCCCGAGTCCTCTGGAAGAGCAGTTGGTGCTCTTAACCACTGAGCCACCTCTCCAGCCCTGCATGTGCTATTCTTAACTGAACCAGAAACTCAGCTCTCTGATCTCCAGAGCATCCATTAACCAGATCCAAACTAGTAGAGAGAGTGTGTGTGTGTGTGTGTGTGTGTGTGTGTGTGTGTGCGCGTGTGCGCGCGCGCACGCTGTGTACCCTGTTGACCACGCCCCCAGCTCCTCACTAGGGGAATCTAGGCGGGGGCTCCAGCTAGCCCTCATCTTGTCTGGCCTCTGAATCAAGTGCTGTTTAGCCATTTTCCGGTGGGGACACTTCATTCTCATGTTCTTGTGGGCTGGGCCCCTCCTGTATGCCATGCCCAGGAATAGTGTCAACCCCAGGACAATAGGAAAGGCCTCCGCTTCTGCACAGAGGTTCCACATCTGGCTGTAGTCACAGCTGGAGGCCTCCCAGCAGCCCTCTCTCTCACTCTGCCAGCACTTCTTCCCCAGACGTAGCTCTGCTTCAAGGTGTCCTTCACAGTGCTCCCTCCCATTTTAGCAGGGAGCAGTTCAGGGTCACATTCTCCTGATTCTTGCGACAGAGCCTGTGTTGTTCGAATCTTAGATGGTCTTTTAATAAGAAACCCAGAGCCAGATATCAGGGTGAAAGCTGAAAGATCAGAGAAGCAGAACAGCCAGCCACTAGTTCTTATCTCTACAAAATCCTCAGTCTAAAGAGAGTGAGTTCCTGTTTCCTCACGCCTTATATACTTTTCTCTGCCCTGCCATATTACTTGCTGAGATTAAAGGCATGTGTGCTTCCCAAGCAAAGGCATGAGATCTCAAGTGCTGGGATTGAAGGTGTGTGCCACCACTGCCTGACCTCTATGTCTAATCTAGTGGCTGACTCTGTCCTCTGGTCCTCAGGCAAGTTTATTAGGGTACACAGTATATCACCACATGCTTGTACTGTGGCTCTGGGCTTTGCATTTGGGAGGGGCTGAGCTGTGTTTCACATTCTGGGTGCTGGGAGGTCATTTTTGCCCTCTGAGTCACATGGGACCAGCACGTGGCCAACATGGCATTTCAACCTAGAGGGTAGCTACACAGCGAGGTTAAGGTTGGAGCCAGCCTGGGATAGCCTAGGTCAAGAATAAATAGGGCCAAGAGAGTTCATTGAGTACAGGCAATTGCAGCCAAGCCCGAAGACCTGAGTTCTGTCCCCAGGCCCCACAGAGTAGAAGGAGAGAACTGGGTCCTACATGTTGTCCTCTGACCTCCACACATGTGCTGTGGCACACAGGCACACATATAGAAAGAAATTTATTTGCTTGCTTCCCTAATTAAGAGGCTGGAGAAATAGCTCAGTGGCCAGGAGTGTTTGCTGTTCTTCCATCGAACCTGAGTTCAGTTCCCATCACCCATTTCAGATAGCCCACAGCTGCCCGTAACTCCAGCTGACCTCTGGGGCACCTGCACACAGAACATACACCTATAGAGATGTACACACTTAAATAGAAATAACAAATCTTTTTTTTTTTAAATGTTTAACTGATTGGGAAGGATACAGATTCAGCCAGGAACCCCTTCAAATAAAAATCAAAGGGACAGAGAGGTTGAGTGACTTGCCTGAGACCATGTAGCTTGGTGTGATTGGAATTTAGAAAGTTGCTGTGCTTTGAAGTCTTTTTTTTTTTTTTTTTTTTTTTTTTGAGATAGTAACCTCGGGCCAGGCGATGGTGGTGCAGGCCTTTAATCTCAGCACTCAGGAGGCAGAGCCAGGCAGATCTCTGTGAGTTCCAGGCCAGCCTGGTCTACAGAGCGAGATCCAGGACAGATACCAAAGCTACACAGAGAAACCCTGTCTCAAAAAACAAAACAACAACAACAAAAAAGAGGTAGTAGCCTCGGAACTCACTGTGTAGCCCAAGCTGGAATCCAGTTCACAGAAATCCACCTACCTCCCCAGTGTTGGGATTAAAGATGTATACCACACAGGGGCTAGGATGACCTCCCCCTCTGGCCTCCCTGGGTGGGGGATCCTGGTGTGGAAGGATGCTGATGTGTCCCATCCTGCAGGTTCTGGCAGACACTAAGGAACTGGTGTCGTCTACAGTATCTGGGGCCAGAGAAATGGTATCTAACTCAGTGACCAGTGCAAAGGACACAGTGGCCACCCGGGTGACCGGAGCAGTGGATGTGACCCGGGGGGCTGTGCAGAGCAGCATGGACATGACCAAGTCGGCGGTGACCAGCGGTGTCCAGTCGGTCATGGGCTCCCGAGTGGGACAGATGGTGATTAGTGGAGTGGACACGATGCTGGTAAAGTCTGAGGCCTGGGTGGACAACCGCCTGCCCCTGACAGATGCAGAGCTGGGTGAGTGTCCTTACCCCGGCCTCTGGCCACAGTGCCTATGCTTCAAACTCCCCACAACTACCCCCAAGAGGGCGCCCTCCTATGCCCACAGCTCTCCAGGTACTCTGTTGGATTCTGTCCGACCACCATGTAGGTTCCAGGAATCAAACTCAGTCAGGCTTGACAACAAGCCTTTAGACCCACCGAGCCACTCTTGGTTCAAGGATGATACCCCTGCCTCCACTTACCAAGTACTGGGGAGACAGGCGTGCATCACCACCCAGGCATTCATAGAGGTCTCAGTTCCTCCTAGGCTGGCCGTGAGCCTGCAGCTCTGTGGGTTTTGAGTGGCACGTATTCATTCAAAGAGCAGCGCTCACTCCCAGCGACAGTGACCCTCTGCGGGGGAGACCCGCCTGCACCTCAATCCCCAACACAGACACCAGCCTGGGAGAGGGTGGGATGCAATGCATAAACAGGAACCAGAGGCTCTGTGGAGGCGGCTCCTGTCTGAGCAGCCTTGGTTAAACCACTGCTCTCCCAGATGCATCCCTGGTGAGGATGTGTGTCCTATAGGACTCAGTGGCTTGTGGGTAACACCAGGTAGGGAATAGCAGCGGCATGTGGGAGCTAGCTTTGTAACCTGAGCAAGGGGGCCTGTACCTGTCACCCCAGCACTTGGGAGGCTGAGGAAGGTAGATGGAGACGTTCTAGGCCGACCTGGGCTACATCACAAGACCTTGTCTGAAAATACAAGCGTAAGCTTCAGTCTGGGGCTGTAGGTAGAGCGTTCACCTAGCATGCACAAGTCCGTGGCTTCCATCCCCTGCACAACAAAGCCAGGTTTGGTGGCACACACCAGTCGCCCCAGCACTCAGGAGGTGGATGCCAGGGGAGGGGGGCTGTGTCAGGAGTGGGAGGCCAGCCTGAGTCTTTTCCACCCCTTCTAGTTCAGGCCAGTTGAGCTGCCTGTCTCCCAGGGACACAGGGCCTGTCCCTCTGCGTCACGCCACTCTCTGCCCATGGCTTCCTGCCCTTGCCTTGGCTAAAAGCACAAGGCTCCTTTCACTTCCCAGGGTGCAGCCCCCAGCTTCCAAGAAAACTGCTACAAACCCGCTGGCCGGGACCAAAATGTAGCCGTTTTGTTTTGAAATCCACTGTGTAAAGAGAAATGGGAAGGGGGAGAACATTTTTTTTTTTTTCCAAACATAGGATTTTGCCTGGCATGATCCCATACACCTTTAATCCTAGCTCTTGGGAAGCAGAGGTAGGCGTATGTCTGAGTTTGAGTCTAGCCTGGGCTACACAGTGAGATGCTGTCTCAAAATAACAAAACAAAAAGCCCCAGGATTTGACTTTGTCCCTGAATGTCTCAAAGACTTCTGAGTGCATGTGCCAAGGCCACAGGACGGCCTCTGTCTACCCCAGCAATTCTTCCCCGTGTTTTTTGAGACAGGGCATCAGTGACTTGGGGCTCACAGACTTGGCTAGGCTGGCTGGCTGTCAAGAGGAGCCCGGGGGTCCATCCTCCTGCCTCCTCTGTAACAGGCTTTCTTGGACCGCCAGCCCCCAAATCATGACACGGAGACTTATTATTAGTTATGAATGCTCAGCCTTAGTTTATTTAGGCTTGTCCTACTAGCTCTTATAACTTACATTATCCTGTTTCTCTTCATCTACATTTTGCCTTGGGGCTTTTTACCTTTCTTTGATTCTGTGTGTTCTGCTTCCCTGCTTCCCCTGTGTCTGGCTGCTGGAGGCTGCCTGCCTGGCTGGCCTAGGGTGGCGCTTTCTCTTTCTCCCTCATTTCTCTCTTTTTTTTTTTTTTTTTTTAAAAGGTTTATTTATTTATTATGTATACAGTGTTCTGCCTGCATGCCAGAAGAGGGCACCAGATCACATTATAGATGGTTGTGAGCCACCATATGGTTGCAGGGAATTGAACTCAGGACCTCTGGAAGAGCAGCCAGTGCTCTTAACCTCTGAGCCATCTCTCCAGCCCCCCTCATTTCTCTCTTGAGCCTAGATTCCTCCTCCTACTTATTCTCTCAGACCACCAGCCCTGCCCATCCCTCTGCTGCTTAGCTGTTGACTGTTCAGCTTTCTATTAGACCACTCAGGTGCCTTAGGCAGGCAAAGTGAAATAGCAACACTGGATCTTTACATAATTAAAAGTTATTCTGCAACTCAAATGCAACACATCTTTATAGAGTTAAATGAATATTCTGTTCCACAGTACTCCTCCCTAGTGCTGGGCTTATAAGCCTGTGCCACTCACTACCTTCTGCTTTTTACATTTTTAAAAATACATTTCATTTTAATCATTTGAGGTATGCCTGTGCTAGGTGCACATGGAGCGTCCAGAGCACAACTTCCGGTCGTCGGTTCTCTCCTACTGTGGGATCCACGGACAGAACTCAGTTTCTCAGACTTGGCAGCAAGCATCTTGGCCCGCCCAGCCGTCTTGCCAGCCCAGTCCTGGGGAGGAACCTCTAGACAGCTGTTCTACCAATGAGCCACACCGTCTGAGACAGGGTCCCCTGTAGCTCACGTTGCCAGAGACTTGCAAGCCTCCTGCCTCGGGTTCCCAACCCCCCTCGGCAGGGAATGCAGTGTGAGCCTGTCCACTCTCTCCCTCTGTGCCTGCAGCCCTGATCGCCACTTCCCCAGAGGGCTCGGACATGGCCTCGCTGCAGCAACAGAGGCAGGAGCAGAACTACTTCGTCCGGCTGGGCTCGCTGTCGGAGAGGCTGCGCAACCACGCCTATGAGCACTCACTGGGCAAGCTGCGCCATGCCAGGCAGAGTGCGCACGAGGCGCTGCAGCAGCTCACGCATGCACTCAGCCTGGTGAGCCTCGGGGTGTGGCCAGGGCTGGGGCCTCTTCCCTGCTGCTCCCCTCCCTCCGTGAGCTGGGATTGCACCTAGTAGGAGGTGGGCTGGGCTGGCTCCCCTCCGCCGTCTTCCACCAGACAGTGAGTATGAGTCAGCTCAGGCTGTGTGACAAAGTGCACGATCTGGGCAACTGAACCAGACACGTTCATTGTCCGACCCTGTCAGAGGCTGAAGTTCAGTTGAGACGGAGTTGTGGACTTCGATACATGAATACAGGGTGACTCTGTTCCAGGGTGCATGGGGCATGGGCCTCTCTTTCTCTACCTGGGTGGCTGGGGTGCTGGTCGCTGGGTTCCGAGGCCATCTAAGGCACTGTTCCATCTTACTCGTGTAAAGCTTATGGTGGTTGCTGGCGGAACATTAATTGCCCAAGGGGAAAAATAAAAGTGCGGGACTTCTTGGCCCATGCCTCTCACCCCTCAGAGGCCAGCCTGGTCTACATAGTGAATTTCAGGCTAGCCAGAAAAGAGAAAAATAATGTAAATGAAGAGCATTCCCATTGCCGTTGTGCCCGCGTGGAACCAGCATTTGGGACACAGACTCCCTTCAATACAGGCCCCCACCCCTTTCTCTTGCGCTGCAGATGGAATCAGTGAAACAAGGCGTGGACAAGAGGCTGGGGGAGGGACAGGAGAAGCTGCACCAGATGTGGCTCAGCTGGAACCGGAAGACCCCCCAGGATGCAGAAAAGGACCCAGCTAAGCCAGAGGTAACAGCTGGGGCCCTGGGATCGCGCGTTGGTCTGCATGCCCTGCCCTGTGCACACTGCCCTTCCTGCCCGCCCCCCACCTCCAGTGACCACAAAACCCAGGCTTTACATGATTCTGTTTTGTTTTGGCTTTGGTTTTGTTTTTTTCTTGGTTTCTCAAGACAAGGGCCTTACTATGTAGCCGTGGCTGTTCTGGAACTCTCTGTAGTCCAGGCTAGTCTCAAACTCACAGAGATCCGCCTGCCTCTGCCTCCTGAGTGCTGGGAGTAAAGACATGCACCACCACTGTCACCCGGCATTTTGGCTTTGGTTTTCAATTTTTGTATTTTTTTTTTTTAATGCCGAATGCCATTTATTGAAGGAGGGAAGAGGCCTTAAATACAGGCTTACAGCACAATGGGAGAACCCCGGAGGGCAGAAGTTCGCCACGGGATGTTTTACAATCTTGCATCTAAGCTGTTAACGCCCATTATGCAGGATACACAGACAAGAAACTTCCCTTAAGCATTCAGGAGGGTGGAATCTGTCAGGGAATTAGCATAGGGAGGATATCAAGGTCAAGGTCAGCAAGCAAGGCAACAGTTACCCAAAATGGGGGTCAGGGCCCTACAGGTCCCCCCTTTTTACTAAAAAATGAGCTTCTGACTTAGGTTGCATGGGATGTCAGCAGGTCACCTTACCTGTCATGGAGACACCTGCCCAGGCCTGTATTTTTATTATTACTGTGAGCAGTTATTTAGTTTGATTCTGAGATCACAGCTGTGCAGCCACCACATCTGGTCTCTTAGTGTCCACGTTGTGGTTTGATTTTGGGTTTGTATATTTGTTTTTTGTTTTTTAATTTTTGCTGTTTGGCTTTTATCTCTCCTGGTAGCTTTTGTGTCTGGTGAGTCTAGATTCTAGGCGTCTTCCGGTGTCTCCCTGTAAATCTATTTTGAAAAGGTTACAGGAACCGAATCCCTGTCCCCCACACTGTACCCCTGCTGGCCCTCACCCCGCCCCACTCTCCCCTTCCAGCAAGTGGAGGCCCAGGCGCTCGGCATGTTCAGGGACATCACCCAGCAGCTGCAGAGCACCTGTGCAGCCCTGGGGGCCAGCATCCAGGGCCTGCCCGGCCATATCAGGGAGCAGGCCCAGCAGGCCCGAAGCCAGGTGGATGACCTTCAGGCGACCTTCTCCGGCATCCAGTCCTTCCAGGACCTCACCACCAGCGTTCTTGCCCAGACCCGTGAGCGCATAGCCAGAGCCCGAGAGGCCCTTGACCACACTGTGGAGTACGTCGCTCAGAACACACCTGTCACGTGGCTGGTGGGCCCCTTCGCTCCTGGAATCACTGAGAAAGCCCCAGAAGAGAAGTAGTGGGAAGAGGGAGGGGTCAGGGGCAGCATGCTGACTGAGTCAGCTCTTTGAACAGTCCTGTTGCACACCCTAAGTCTGAAGAAGTGTTTACCCTTTTTCCTTAAAAAAAAAAAAAAAAAAAGCGTAACCAGTAATGATGGCACATGCCTGTCATCCTGTGCCAACACTGTGGCAGTTGAGGCAGGAGGGTCAAGAATTAAAAGCCAGACTGCTGCATAACAAATTCAGTGATAGCCTAAGCTCCTGTCGTGACGTACATCACGCCATGGTGATATTCCATTCCGGTGCCAGTGCCGGTGCCTTTACTACGCCATGGCCCACAATAATAAACGCTTTCCTAACAGACGCTGATACCTGGTCCAGAAAGCTGGCCTCCATGACAGGGTGGACCGCAGGGATGTGAAAATCGTTTCAGATGAGAATGGCTGAGGGCTGAGTGTTCAATATTGCTTCAATAAATTTATGTGGCATCAGAGGCCAGGCATATGGTGTGTATATGTGATTCTTTCCCAGCCACTGGGCCACCCTGCCAGGGAAGCAGGAAGGGCTGCTGCCCGGTGATTTCCCTCCACTGCACTTTCTGTAAGGTGAAGGGGAGGGTCTGTGAGGTGTAGGGGAGGGTTGGTGCAGCAGACTGAACATCACCTGCCAAACATGTTCATGTCTGTTTCCCTTGACATAGAGACAGGAGGATAAGGAGTTCAAGTTCATCCTTGGCTACATAGTAAGTTTGAAGCTAGCCTGGGCTACATGAGACCCTCTCTCAAAACAGCAAAACTCAGGAACAGGAGAGAGAGTTCCAATGGTCAATGGTCAAGTGCTTGCAGTGTGACCAAGAAAGACACTTGATGCCAGCCCCTGACTTCCACAAACATGCACATATACATAAGGAAAACACAGGCCCTTCTAATTCCAACCTCCAGAGGTATGGAGGCATCATGTTCAGTGACATGAGCCAGATACTCCTGTCTAGAATCTCCTAGAGAGGGGCTGGGGGCGTGGTTGGGGTGGAGCCACCCAGTGAGGGCCTGGGGGCGTGGTCGGGTACAGCTCCCCTTCTCCCACCTAGAATCTCCCAGTGACAGGGTGGGGGTGGGGTGGGTGGCTCATTTGTGCTGTGCATACCACTTCCTAATTGTTGTCGCCTGTAAGCTGCTTCTGCTTTTCCGTTTTCACAATTTAGTTTCATCAATTTTAAAACATGCCTGTAATATAACCGTCTGGGAGACTGAGCCAGGATAGCCCAAAGTTCCAGGATAGCGTCATATACATACCAAGAGGCTTGCTGTCCTTCGACCTACACACACAGACACACACACATGAAAAAAATGAATAAATAAAACGTTAAAAAATATTCTCAACCAAATGGATTTCCTTTGTAGATTCCAGCACTCTTGTTTATTTATTTTGTATTTATTATTTATTTATTGGTTTTTTTCGAGACGGTTTCTCTGTAGCTCTGGCTGTCTTGGAACTCACTCTGTAGACCAGGCTGGCCGAGAACTCACAGATCCACCTGCTGCCTCCCACGTGCTAGATTAAAGGCATGTGCCACCACCGCCTGGCCTTTTTTCTCTTTTTTTTCTGAGATGAAGGTCATACTGTGTGGGTCAGGCTTGCTTGGAACTCAGGGCAATCCTCCTGCCTCGGCTTCCAGTGTGCTGGACTGATAGGTGTAAGTCACCAGGGTTTCTGTGAACTTAGCCACATGGTGCGTGGTGAATCCCCACAATGTGTCACTGCGGCCACCATCCCCTAGGTCTCTGGGGGTGCAGGTTTCTCTTTCCCCTGCCTTGGCGCCACACAATGGGAGCCCTGCCTTGTTCCACGTGGCACCGTGGCACTGGGCGGAGGGCAGGGCCAGGTCCGGGGCGCCTTGGGGAGTTTCCCCTCTGGGGCGGACACAGCTGACTTCATCTGCTCCTCCCCCACACGGAAGGGGTGGAACCGTTCCCTCCTCTTCTCCCTCCTCCTCCTCCAGCGGCCACCAGGAACCCTGAGATCCACGAGCCCAGGACCCCACTGCCAGGTAGGATGAAGGCAGAGGGGACAGCAGAGGCAGGGCCGGGGGGGGTGGCCTGGACAGCCTGGGTGGCACGCTGGGCCCCCACCTGCTCCCCATTCTGCTTCCTCAAGCCATTTCCCATGGACACTCAGATCTGCAGTCCAACTCCTGACCCTCAACCCATCCCTGCGGTCCTGGGTGCTTCCTCAACCCCCAGTGACCCCCAATTCCTAGATCTTCCAGCCCCTAGGTCTCCTCCAGCCACAACAGTGAACCCCAACTCATCCCACCCCCAATCCCTCTCCTATTCTCTATTTCCTGACCAGATCCGCTTTCTCTACCTCTGTCCTCTGTTAAAGCCCCTGTCCCCAGAGTAACACAGGCACTGACTGCTAGGTGTGGAGATTGGCCTGGTGCAGTCTTGCAGCCAGCTGCCCCTGGGTACATGCAGGATCAGCCTGGGAACCATTCCAAGTTCCCTGGCAGCTCTCAGTCCCTGAGTCCCAGAGCTGACAGTCACCAGGGACTGGGGGAGGGTTACCCTGTGCCACAAGAGACTGTCAGTTCTGCCAGAGGGAGGTCAGACAAGAAAGAAAGGGAGGCCCATCCACTTACCCACCCACCCATCCATCCACTCATGCACCTATCCACCCACCCATCCACCCACCCACCCCTCCCATCCACCAGTCCTGGTTCACGCTAGGGATAGAGCCCAGGGTCTCATGCATGCCAGATGAGAGCTCTACCAACTGAGCACCTCCACCCTGCTCTTAAAAGTAATTACTTTTATTTTTATGTTATGTTGTCATTTATTGTATTTGGAGACAAGTTCTCACTATGTAGACCAGGCTGGCCTGGAACTCACCTAGGCTAGCCCTGATCTCTTGGTCTCAAGAAATCCTCCTGTTTCTGGGCAGTGGTGACTCACACCTTTAATCCCAGAACTGGGAGGCAGAAGCAGGTGGATCTCTGTGAGTTCAAGGCCAGCCTGGTCTACAGAGCAAGTTCCAGGACAGCCTAGGCTATAACAGAGAAACCCTGTCTTGAAAATCGAAAGAAAGGAAGAAAGAAAGGACAGAGAGAGAGAGAGAGAGAGAGAGAGAGAGAGAGAGAGAGAGAGAGAGAGAGAGAGAGAGATCCTTCTGCCTTAGCTTTTTAAGTAGCTTGGATAAGAGGAAACTAACACTCTTAGGTAGTAGAGGCAGGAGGATCAGAAGTTCAAGGTTATCCTGGGTTACATAGTGCAAGGCCTGCCTGCTCTGTGTGTGACATCCTGTCTCAACAACAACAAAAAACAAGCAATAAAATCTAAAACTGTGCGTGACCATTTCTGTGTCTCTCTTTCTCTCCTCTCCTCCCTCCCTTTCTCTCTGCCCTGCCCACCTCTCTCATCCTGGCACTGGGAGTTGAACGCAAGGCCTCATGTATGACAGACGCGCTCTCTGTCCACTCAGTTGCATTTCCAGTCCTCAATAAGCACTTAGTAAGCACTGACTATGCACCAGGTATCATCCTGTTCATGTGTTGATTTTTTTCCCTCCAGTGAAAGCTTATTTTATTTATTGTTGTTGTTTGAGACAGGGTTTCTCTGTGTAGCCCTGGCTGTCCTGGAACTCCTCTGTAAACCAGGCTGGACTCAACTCACAGAGATTCAACTGCCTCTGCCTCTGGAGTGCTGGGATTAAAGAGGCCCAGCAGTTTGTTTATTTATTCATTTTATTTTAATTTTTTATGTCTTTCTTCACCACATGGGTCCAGGGACTGAACTCAAATCATCCAGCTTGGCAGCCTCAAGCCTCCTTACCCACTGAGCCATCTTGCCAGCCCTCAGTCAGCATTTATTATGCACCTGCTGTGTGTCAGCCACTCTGGATACTAGGAACTAGACAGTTGTACCTGAGCCCTGCTCCTGCAGGGTCCCAGATTGGTGTCTGGTGTGGGACATGATGGCTCTTCCACAGCATGAAGTAAAACTCAGTATGAGGTCCTGAGGAGTGGAGAGAAAACTCCGGCAGGTGGGAGCGAGTGCAGATGGGTATGAGAGCTGCCCTGCTGGGGAGAGGACTGCCCTCAGGATATATGCAGAGAGGGACAGCCGTGCAAAGGCCCTGAGGTATGACTGCATGTACGTGACAGCACAGCAGGAACAGAGGGACAGGTCCTGGTCGACTCTGTGACACTGTCTGCTCTGCCTGGTGCCCCCAGAACCCTACAGTCTGTCTTCCCCATAGCAAGCAAAGGGAGTTTCCTCTGAGGTCTCTGCCCACAGCCCTCCTGGGCTCCCACCTCCCTCAGGGTCAAAACTGCCCTGGCCCCTCCTCCCTCTGATCTGGTCTACTCACTACTCCCACATGCCAGGATCCTCCTGCTCTTCAGGCTGAGCCCCGTGCCCCAGGCCCTTTGTACTCACAGTGGACTAGCTCATCTCCTTCAAGGGTGCAGCTCAATCGTGTCCTCTCTAGGGCATCCCCACCCCAGGTTGTCTCAGGTTCATTTCCTCCATGGCACTTTTTATTTCTCAAAATGATCTTAGGTGATTTTTTTTTTTTTATCATTTCCTGTTGCTCTGCCTGATGCCCGAGTGTGTGCCCCACTCCATGTGCAGGATCTCCCACGGCGGTGCCCAGACTGTGTGAGAAATGTCGAGCATAGGAAGGGACTGCATGGGTGTGGGGGGAGAAGGAGGGACATGAGGGCAGGGGTAGACATCCTAGATGTGGGTGGGAGATTTTTGGTGTGGTGAGGACATCAGGACAGGCCTTTAGTTGGCAGGGCTTTGGCCCTGCGGCAGTGCCTTTGCGGAGCTGTGTCCTCCGCCTCAGGGCCTTTGTATGAGTGGTACCCTCCCCTTGGTGTTCCCTCAGACTTCTCCATTTTCATGTCCTGTGCGGCTCCTCATCTCTGAGTCCTTGGGACCACACTGTTCAGGTCTGCCAACGTAAGCCTTAATCCTTGGAGTTCTTGACCCTTCTTCAGGCTTCGTCTTGTCTGCAGCCATGATGGGCGGGCAACTGAGCAAGGTGAACATCACTCCTTTCTCTGTGCGCCAGGTCTTCTCTCTTTCTTTTGTCCCCATTGTAACTGCCTCTGTCTGCACGTTCACACCTGACTGCCTCCATCTCCCGGCAGCCACGGAGAGGGCGGTGCCCATCCTACTTCCTTCTTGGCTCTTTTGCTCTTTCCAGCCTCTTTGCCATTTTCCTGGTCAGCTATCTGCCATCAGCATCCCCACCCGCCATGCTCCCGTGACTCTGGCTCGGCCAATGGTCACCAGGCTCCTCCCTCTGCCTACCTGGCCCCCTTGACCTCGGCCTTGGGCCCAGCCTACCTCTGCTGCTCAAAGTCCGGTCTCTGAAGGCTTTTCAGTCATCTGTGTGCAAAGTTTGTGGGTTGACTGACGTGTTGACTTCTGGTCTAGACCAGGGTCCCTCTTGAGCATCCCGGACATGTACATGGCCGGATCATTCTCTGTGGGGCAGTGTGGGCCCTGCGGGTGCTGAGAAGTATCCCTGGCCTCCACCCACTCCATGCCAGGGCTGTCTGGTCACAGCAGATGGGGCGGGACAGGAGTGAGCCCCATCCCAGCCTGGCTGTGGAGGGAGGACAGGTGTCAGGGCCACCAGGACTGACAGGCTCTGAGGTCTTCTTAACTGTGAACAGGGAGCTGGGATGAGTGACAATGGTGGCCCTCCCACCTGAGGATCCCTGCGAGTGTCCTGTCAGTCACGGTGAGCTTTATGCCAGTTTACACATCCACTCACCCACTCATTCACTCACTCACCACACCTGGTTCGTGCAGCACACATCGTGGAACCTGGAGCTCCATGAATGCTTGGCCAGTGCTCTCCCCTCTGTCCCCAGTGCTCTCCCCTCTGTCCCCAGCCCTCCTGCTGATTTGGAGACATCTCTGTGTAGCCCTGGCTGGCCTGGAGCTCAGAGAGGTTCCCCTGCCTCTGCCTCCCGGGGTCCTGTGCTGGAGTTAAAGGGGTGTGCTGTCTTGTTTGGAAAGTCACGATGAACTCCCATTTCCACAGGTCTGCTGTACTACCCTCCAGGATCTCCTGCAGCAGGGGACACGCTGTGCAGGAGGCTATTGGTCTGGAACATGTCTCCACCTGCCCCAGCCTCTGTGGCTCCAGGCTTCACCTTCCCCCATCCATGGCCAACCCAGGTCCATCACTCCATGGCGCCTTTGATATTCTAGAAGCCATGGGAAGGGACAGGCTGACCCACCTGAAACACAAGCTGGGGAGTCTGCATCCAGGCAGCCAGGAGTCCAAGCTTCTTCACGCCATGGTGCTCTTGGCTCTGGGCCAGGACACTGAGGCCAGGACCTCTTTGGACTCCTTGAAGGTGGACACGGTGGCCCGGCTGGTAGCCCACCAGTGGGCAGGTGTAGACAGCACAGAAGGCCCTGAGGAGCCCCCAGATTTGTCTTGGACTGTGGCTCGCCTGTACCACCTGCTGGCCGAGGAGAACCTGTGTCCGGCTTCCACAAGAGACATGGCTTACCAGGTGGCCCTCCGTGACCTCGCCTCCCGGGATGACCACCTGCTGGGCCAACTGCAGAAGGAGGCCTGCGATCGGTGTAGTTCAGACATCATGGGGGACTCCCGTGGCTTCCAGCCACTCCATTCTGATCAGGGTGGCCTGCCGCCATCCTCAGCATCCCCTTCATTGACCAGAAGCCAGCCTCGACCCATTGATACATCAGACTGGAGCCGGGGGCATTCTCTACACTCCACTGGCAGCATTGCCTCACTGGCCAGCCACTTGGAGATCAGCCAGTCACCCACTCTGCCTTTCCTCTGTCCACAACGTGGAACCCATGGGCCCAGCAAGCTCTGTGACACACCCCCGGCCTCCCCTGAGCCTCAGCTTGTCCCTGTAGGCTGCCAAGAACCCGAGGAAGTGAGCTGGCCCCCGTCAGTGGAGACCAATGTCCCCTTGGGGTCACCACACAGAACTGGGGGCCCAGAGGTGTCCCCTGAGGTGGCTTCGGCCATCCTCCCTGACTCTCCGGCTGCTCCAGACACGAGTGTCCACTGCCCTGTTGAATGCACGGAGGTGTCTGCAGGCTCTCGGTCTCTCCTGCCACCCACCACGGAAGGCACTGGAAAGCGGCTGTCTATCACAAGTCAGATGTCACCTCCTGGTTCTGTAGGAGATGACAGTCTGCAGAACACCACATCCAACCCCCCTGTCCAGCCACCATCCTCCCAGGCCCCCTCTACACTGCCTCCTTCCCCTCCGCCCTCCAATTCCTCTTCCAGCAGCTGCTCTGCGCCCCCAGCCTCCATGTCCCCCATTCTGGGCCACTTGGAAACATCTGAGCAGAAATTCTATAACTTCGTGGTCATCCATGCCAGGGCTGATGAACACGTGGCCCTACGTATCCGAGAGAAGCTGGAGACCCTTGGGGTGCCTGATGGGGCCACCTTCTGTGAGGAATTTCAGGTGCCTGGGCGTGGTGAGCTGCATTGTCTCCAAGATGCCATCGACCACTCGGGGTATACTATTCTGCTCCTGACCACCAACTTCGACTGTCGTCTGAGCCTGCACCAAGTCAACCATGCCCTTATGAACAGCCTCACGCAGTCGGGAAGGCAGGACTGTGTGATCCCCCTCCTCCCACTGGAGTGCTCCCAGGCCCAGCTCAGCCCCAACACAACCAGCTTGCTCCACAGCCTTGTGTGGCTGGATGAACACTCCCCAATCTTTGCCAGGAAGGTGGCGAACACCTTCAAACCACAGAAGCTCCAGGCACACCGGATACGCTGGAAGAAAAAGCAGGAGGCCAGAGCCCTCAAGGAGCAGAGCATACAGCTAGAGGCTGAGCGGCAAAGGGTGGCTGCCATGTCGGCTGCCTATTCAGCCTACGTCCAAAGTTGCAGCGCCTGGCAAGCGCAGATGGACAGCCTGCAGGGGGCCTTCGGGAAGGACTCGTCAGTGGGGACCCCTACATTCTTCCCCCGTTGGCTGGGATGTCCACAGCCAACACCTTCACATCCACAGCAGAGTGGTACCCCAGTTTCCCCCTATTTCCCGCAACCTCCATCTTTCCCGCAGCCTCCGTCTTTCCCGCAGCCGTCTTTCCCGCAGCCTCCGTCTTTCCCGCAGCCTCCGTCTTTCCCGCAGACTCCGTCTTTCCCGCAGCCTCCGTCTTTCCCGCAGTCCCCATCTTTCCCGCAGTCCCCACCCTTCCCATCTGCCTCCTCCGCAGCCCCCCAGACTCCAGGATCTCTCATTATTCACCATGCCCAGATGGTTCAGCTGGGCGTCAACAACCACATGTGGGGCCAGACAGGGGCCCAGTCGACGGATGACAAGACTGGGTGTCTGGAGGAACCCTGCATGGGCCCTCCGAGTGACCAGGAAGGACCCCGACTTGGGCCTCCAGAATGACCATGTCGGAGCCCACCTGGATTCCTAAAGTGACCAGGCTGAACCCAACCTAGACTGCCAGAGTGGCCACGTTGGACTTCACCTGGGTCCCTAAAGTGACAGTGGGGGAGGGGAACCTCGCCTGGACCCTCACAGTGGCCATGAACTGGACCCAGTTTGGTACTCTAGAGGCCGGGAAGACCTCGCCTGTAAACTCAGGGCCTCGGAAACATCCAGAACCCTATTGAACATTGGACAGGATTCTGTGGAACCCCAACCTGCATCCTCTAGGTGGACAGAAGACGATGGGGCCATAGGTTTTTCCGAGGTGCTCCCAGCGGCCACGTGTCCATTCACTGTGGCACGTGGCGTCTCTGGGGAGGATGTGGTGCTGGGGCAATAGAGAGGGTCCTGTCATTATGATAGTTATTGACGGCTGAGTCACGAGCCTACGTCCCCCAACCACCACCGCCCTCAGGCAACAAGCAGGAGACTCAGCTCCGCCAGGACCGGAATCGGAAAAGACGAGCACCAGCCGCTCAGCTCCCTGAGCAGCAGAAACCGGACGTTGCGGGTGCATTCTCATTCCATTGGTCAGCGCGGGGCCACGTGGCCTTCTGCTGCAAGGGACTTAGGGAAATGTAGTTTTTTTGGGCAGCCATATCTCTTGTAATGTCAGAAAAGAAGAAAAAAAGACTCTGGGAGTTTCTGGCGGTTTTGATTGTTTTTATGCATTTATTTATGTAGTGCATGTGTGTCAGGCATGTGTGGAGGTTAGAGGACAACCTGTTTGGGCCAGTCCTCCTCCTCCATGTGGGTCCCCAGGATAGACACGTCAAACCCACCCTCGTACGTTAAGAAAAGTTTTTTGTTTTTTTTTTAAACAAAACATTTATTTTGGCAGAAATTGCTACAGCGAGGTTATCTTTGGAGTGTGAGCATGTGGTGAGATTCAACCAAGGCTGTGCAACTTTGCATCTCCAACCCTCTGCCGTTTCATCTCATGTATTGGTTTAATTTTTTTCAGATGTATTATTTTTATTTATGGGTATGCATGTGAGGCCGTGTGAAATTATGTGCACTTTGTAAGTACAGAGAGTGTCAGTTCCCCTGGAGCTGGAGTTACAGGCAGCTGGAGTCCCTTGATGTGGGTGCTGGGAACCAAACCCGGATCCTCTGCAAGAGCAGTAAGTGCTCTTTTATTTTTAAAAAAAAAAAAAATTTACTTATGTATTTTATGTATATAGTTGTTTTTATGCATGTATGCGTACCAACAGAGGGTCGTGGGTTACAGACCAGTGGTTCTCAACCTGTGGGTCGCGACCCATTTGAAGCTCAGCGGTTCTTTCACAGTGGTTGCCAAAGACCACTGGAAGAGATATTTACATTATGATTCATAACAGTAGCAAAATTACAGTTATGAAGTAGTAATGAAAATATTTCTATGGTTGAGGGTCACACCACACGAGGAACTGTTAATACATAAGCAGGCGTGATGGTGGTGCACACCTTTAATCCCAGCACTTGGGAGGCAGAGGCAGGTGGATCTCAGTGAGTTTGAAAAGGGTCACAGCACTAGGAAGGCTGGGAACTACTCGTTATACATAGATACGTTGTTGTGGTTGCTGGGAACTGGACTCAGGACCTCTGGACCAGTGCTCTTAACCATCCAGTCATCACTCCAGCTCCTGTGCATTCATTTTCCTATTTTATTTATTTATACTGTTTTCCCCCATTCTTTTACTTATTTGGGTTTAGTTTTAGACAAGGTCTCTTTACATAGCCCTGGATGAAGCCGGGCGGTGGTGGCGCACGCCTTTAATCCCAGCACTCGGGAGGCAGAGCCAGGCGGATCTCTGTGAGTTCGAGGCCAGCCTGGACTACCAAGTGAGTTCCAGGAAAGGCGCAAAGCTACACAGAGAAACCCTGTCTCGAAAAACCAAAAAAAAAAAAAAAAAAAAACATAGCCCTGGATGAGACAAGGGTTGGTGGCGCACGCGTTTAATCCCAGCACTTGGGAGGTAGAGGCAGGTGGATCTCTTGAGTTCAAGGCCAGCCTTGTGTACATATAGAGTTCCAGGACAGCTAGGGCTACACAGAGAAACCCTGTCTTGAAATCCAAATGAGATTTTCATGTGCCTAGATATCTCAACTCTCCAAACAAGCCTCTGTGAAATGTGGACTCACTTTACAGATGATGAAAACTGAATTCCAGCCCTCAACATCACTCTAGTTAGAATTAGGGGAGCTTAATGTAAGACGCCAGACTTCCAAGGACCAGCAACTGTGGACTCATCCCACAGCCAACTCTTCCGCTGCAGGAGGGATGAGTCACTCCCCTTGCTATTTTAGTCTGAGTCAGACCTAGTCAGGGCTGAAGTGAAACCCCAGCATCATAGTTCTGAGATTCTGGGGGGCAGGATATGTAAATGAAGTCCTCCGATCTATGGTGTGTGGGATTGTCCAGTTGCTGGGGTGAGGGGTGCCTGGAAAGGTGCTAGGCTCTTGACTATGGGGTTCCAGGGTGGAGAAGTGTAAAAGGAGGCATCAGTAAAGCAAGCAAGGGGACTTGGGAAAGCTTGAAGGGACTTGGAATAAGCAGGGAGTTGACAGCCTGTCCCAGGGTGCATGTGGGTAACACAGCCCAAGCAAAGGCCCTGGGGCAGGACAGAGCCAGCATGTTAGGGGTGTAGTGGGAGGAGGTATGGAGGGGGGTGCAGGGAGGACAGGGTAGAGAAGGGCCGAGTGCAGCCTGCCAGTTCATTTCCATGGGGTTTGAGGGGCAGAAAGACGGCTCAGCTGGTAAAGGTGCCTACCGTGGAGCCTCATGACCTGAGTCCCCTCGCCAGGCCCCACATGGTGGGAGGGAGAACCGACTCCTGCAAGCTGACCTTCACACAGTTGCACATGCACACACCCGCAATAAATCAAGAAATGTCATCTAATCATCCTGGCACTTGGGAGGCTGAGAAAAGATCAAGAATTGAAGGCCAACCTCGGCTACTTAAGTTTGAGGCCAGCTGGGCTGTGGGAGACCTTGTCTCAAGTCAGAAAATGTAATTTGTAAAAATTTCCGTTTTTAATTTATTTGTGGTGCTAGGCAAGTGCTCTACCCCTGAGCCACAGCTGCAACCCTACATGAATTCTTTTAACGAGTCATTCAGTACCTCTGCTAGGCACTGGGGCACAGCAAGGCCATGTGGATGCCATTGGACAGACAGCCTTAGGTCTGTAATGGGGCAAGAGCTAGTGGGTGGCTCCTTTAAAGGAAGTTTCTGGAAGAAGGAAGTCTGAGGGCCTGGAACCATGGCTGGACATTCTCAGACCTCTAGTCTGATCTCCCCTGGTGGCAGCCTCAGCAGGGTGTGTCCCTAACCAGCTGGGAATTCAGAAGGCCAGCTCTGCTCACAGCCCTGACTTTTATTGGGTGCGAGGAGGGGCGGAATGGGTCTCACTCTGTGGCCCTGATTGTCCTATAGACCAAGCTGGCCTCAAACTCACAGAAATCTGCCTGCCCCTGCTTCCAGGGATTTGTTTAACAAATGTTCTCTCTAAGCCAAGAACAGAGTTATGTCTTGCAACAGTCACACACCATATGTGTGACTGGTGTTTTTACATTTCTTTTGTGTGAGCATGTGCGTGGAGGTCAGGGGACAATTTACAGGGGTCAGTCCTCTCCTTCCATTGGGTCCTGGGGCTCAAACTCAGGTGGTGAGGCTTGGAGGCTTTGGGTGTGTGCCCCACACAGGCAGCAGAGGGGTCTCCTCTGTAGATGGCTGGGGTGAGCCAGGGAGCAGGAACAGACGTCTGCTCATTTGCAGCCTGTTCTAGAAGCATCTGGCAACCCTCCTTCCTGGGCCTGGAGCACACTGCTGGGCTAAGTCCAAGGTTATCAGAACCTGGCTCCAACCAGCCTTGTGGCCCTCCTCAGGGAACTGAAAGGAGGAAGTTGTGCCACCTGCTCAGGCCCTCCTGGCTTCTGCCCATACTGGGTAGAACTTTCTGGAAGGTGATGACAGCCCAAGAGGGGCACAGTGGGTTCCCACAGGTTCTGTTCCAGAAGGGACTTAGATGCAGTCCTGGGTGATGCTCATCAACACCCACCTGGCCCGCCGCTGCAGGGATTGCACCCGCTGAAGGTTGCTGTGACCCTGTGCAGGTGACGTGTCCCTCCTCATCCTCTTCACTCTCCAGCAGTTACTCTTCCAGACACTGTCCTCTAAGACCTTTGTGACTCTGGATGGAAAGCTCTCCCCCTAGATTCCTCCACTGATCCCTCTTAACATCTGCAGGATTTTGCTCAAACCCAAGTTCTCGGGGCTGGAGGGATGGCTCTGTGGTCAGAGTATGGCTGCTCTTGCAGAGGACCTGTGTTTAGTTCCAGGGGATCCAACCTCCCTCTCTTCTGGCCCCTGTAGGCACTAGGCATGCATGTGGTGTAAAGGCATACATGCAAGCAAAACACCCATAAGAGGAAATATTAAAAACAAAAAACCCAAGGTTCTTACTAGGGGCTTTTCCGGGCACTTCATTTAAAAGCCATTACTCTGGGGCTGAAGAGATGGCTCCGTGGATAAAGTGCTTGCTGCACAAGAGGACTTGAGTTTGATCCTGGAACATGAATTAAACAACTGGTATGCACCTACGACCCAAGCGCTGGAGAGGCAGAGGCAGGAGGATCCCCAGGTTGCCAGCCAGCCTGGCTATGCAAACCTGTAGGTTAGGTCAGAGATTGACTCAAAACCAGCCTTGGCCACTAGAGGGCTCAGCCAGCAAAGACACTGTGGTCAAGTCTGCTGACCTTCGTGCTATCCCAGGCAGGAGAGAACCAAGTGCCCAGAGTTGTCCTCTGACCTACACACACACACACACACACACACACACACACGGGGTTACTTCTGGCACTGGGGATCAAAGCCAGGGCTCTAGCACAAGGCAGACGAATGCTGTACTGCTGACATATGCCCCAGCCCCAAACTCACTTCAGACCACCATCATTTAACCCAGGCCAGGAGCTCATGCTCGCCACCTAGCGCTTCAAGTTAAAAAATAAAACTTATGCCAGGCTAGCCTGGGCTACATAGTGAGACTCTATTTCCAAAACAAACAAAAACGAAAAAATGCCCTTCTGCCTCACCTAATCTTCCTCACGTTCCCATTACCACGCACAGCTATTTGGGATAAACGACCGTCATTCACAGCCCACACTATCCCATCCTCTGGTACTCAGTAAATGTTTGACTTTCAATTGATTGATGTTCAGCTCTGTCTTGGTCCATCTTGACTTTAGATTTCCCGCTGGTCCCTGTTCCCTTCCTGCTGGCTGGTGGGTCTTGTTTTTCTACCATCCACTCGTGGGACTTTGAAGTGTGAGTTAAGCATCTGTGGTTCCTGCTTCCACCTTTGTGAGGTCTGAGTCCCACTTGCCAGTGGTGAGGATGCTGAGGGAACAGTAGGAAATGGAGGTCATGACTCCACCTCGGGATGGCAGGGCACAGCTCAGGGAAGAGAGTGTGGAGCCTCTGAGGGGCCCAGGGCAGCCGGTGTGTCCATCCCCAGTGGATCAAGAGTTCAAAGTCATCTACAGCTATAGAGCGAGTTTGAGTTCAGCCTGGGCAACGTGATGGTTATGACACATTAAGGGATGTGGGGGATGGCGGGACATGCCAAGGTGGCACTGCCATGAACAGACCTTTCAATCAGGGGGCACCCAGGGC